AATAATAGATAAATAAATAAATTCCATAGTTTAATAAAAGTCTTAAAAGCTTAGCCAAATCATTAAATAGAAAAAAAAACCTTTGTGAAGTCGTCAAAAAACAAATTGTAGTTCAGTGCAACACGTTTGTATATGGAACAGCCATTTGAATAAACAAATAAATAAAAAGATTAACAGATAGATAATAATAAAACAAAATCCTCTCGACACTTAACGACTTGCCGTCCCGCCATGAAATATCTTTCGCTGTAAACTAACTAGACGGTGACCGTCACCATTAGCTTTGAAATAGATACCGCACTCTACCTTGGCATAACCTTTACGAAGGTGACGAATCTGTAGATAAGAATTAACTGTCTGACCACCTGTTATAACATAATTCCTATTCTATTGTAATAGACTAACCCACAGATAATAAGTAGTGGTAGCAGTGGCCAATTGGGCTCAGTAGTGTTGAGTGAGTCTGTCGGACATTGAAGTATCAACCATCACAACTAGATTGCTGCGTCATTAACTCTTATTTCAAGTTCCTAACGTTTTTACGTCGAACCTAACTTAGGACGACTTATTGAAATACAAGACTCCACTGTGAAAACTACTTTACAACACCACCTAACCAAGATGGCCGGCCCAGCCGTTTCCATAGTAATTAATGTTACAATGGACCATACTTATAAACACGCGCAAACCACAAGATAGCTTATTCCTAAATTTTCGCTTGAGGATGAAACGGGACCCAACACCTTGATTCAACTTAATTTTCATAATAATATTGATGGTTTCGGCTCTCGTTTTTGAAACATGAGAACTCTTATGTAGCGAAGGAATCATATTTAAAAAAATATTATAATATAAGCTCTACTTCTGTATGGAGCACTGTCTTCTTAAAAATAAAAAACAAAAAATACTAAGGTACTCCGGATTATGCACCCAACGTGTTCCTTCCTATTTTTCTGCATACTTGCGCACATATATATATATATATATATATATATATATATATATATGGACGTCATTATTTTACAATTAGGACCCTTTCGGCTAACACTTTCTCAAAAGGTAATCGTTGGCGAAGCAGGAAACAATCGATGACGCATTAATAAATAACGAATGAGGGGGGGGGGAAATTGGAACACGATTAAAATAGATTTTAATTTTAAATAAATTAATTACTAAAAAATTGCAAGGTTCCAACAAGATTGTAAAATGGTAAAAAGTCAATTATAATCCCTCGATCAAACCTAAGGAACGAATAATTTATAGTGAACTCCCCCACCAAAAAAACAAAAAGAAAATTCAAAACAATAGGAAGATATAAAAATATACATTTATAGTAAAAATACCAACGATACATTTTTATAAAAATAATTACCAACACGTCATTTTCATAGTAACAGAACCAGTAATGCAAAACTAAAAAAGTATTTAAAAATTACCAACAATACATTTCATTATCTACAAACTTTTAAAAACCATCCGTGATATACGCGATCATGTAACGTTCGATACATGACTGACGAGGCAGATTTTTCCTGCAATAGGTTGCCATTTCTTTCTGAGGCAGACCACTTAACATCCAAATCTATAGAACCCGGTTTGTCCTGCTATGGATTATATACATTTCCCAAGGATATTAGCACGAATATAATGGATTTGACTGGAATTCGAACTCGACTCTCCGATTCCTCAACCCGAGCCGCTATCCATTACTCCACTCTCAACAAAATATATATCTAAATAACATATGTTTTACACAGTAAGTATAAAATTGCGTTTAAAATGTTTAGAGTTCGGCCGAAATTAACCCATAGAGATGTTGATATGCCGCTATACTAAAACAAACAAACCAAGACAAACATTCTTTTTGGTATCTGTCTATGTTTCTGAGATGAGGTATTATGTACATTATTTACATTATTCGGACTATTGTCCTCATCTTTGTCGCCATATTTATTACAACGTTTCCGCCGTTGTACGCTTCGGCCATCTTAAGGCAGTGGAGAACTTTCAGAGTGAAATTAACAGGAGATAACTGATCACTCACATCCATTAAACATAGCCCATGGAACTAGAACAGTCTACCCCAGTGAGCAAAATAAAGGGTTCAGTTCGACATTCCAACCACCTGAAGGAGGCCGGAGCGTTCAACGGCCGAAACGTTGTAATAAATATGGCGACAAAGATGAGGACAATAGTCCGAATAATGTAAATAATAAACATACTTTTGTTTTGTTTATTTATTTTAGAGGTATTTCCCTAAGGCAAGAAATGGCTTTGATTATTCAAAATTAAAAGGCAATGGAAAATTAAAAAGGGAAAGAAAAAATATGAAACGAAGTAAAAGAGAAAGAAAAGGTAACAATAAAATTTATATTCTTTATGTAAATACTACCTTATGAAATTTGAGATGTCGTAGAGTGGGTTGATGGCGTATCATAGATTGAGGTGAAACGTGACCCCTGCACCGACTCTGGTGGGGCACCTAATGAAGATCGAACTCACAACACGAACGAAGTGATCTGCAGGACGACCTTGTTAGGTGCAGCCTATTTAATAAATCTTTTTGTCAATTTGTACATTTTTCTCTGCTCAGTTAGGCTCTGTACGACACAAATACTGTTGATTCATTTAAAATGGGCATGTCTCTAATTTGTATTTAGATACATTGTATTTATTTTCAATTTTTCTAGTTGAATTGTTCACCTCTATTGCATATGATCTATTATTGTACATAATTAGGTTACAATAAAATCTATATTTTATATGAATACAACCTTCTGAAATTGAGACGTCGTAGAGATGTGGGGTCTGTAACAAAGTTTGGGCTTGAAGATAATCTTAATTGAATTAGACTGCCCCAAATAATCTCTAGAACCATCTACTCTAAACTTTCATGACATCATCATCATTATACGACATCCAGTCTTGTACAAGTTGATTTCTTTATCTAAGGACATTTATATACGTTACAAATTAAACTAAGCACAAATGAATATTGAAGGATGAAATATTTTTGCGAATTTGGACATCATTCTTGCTTCTTTCTTTTTCCGTTCAAATCCGTGAATTTTTTTTTTGCTCATACAAAGTCTCAAAAAAAAAAAAAAAAAAAATAGAAAAGTCACTATTCTTTTTATCCATAATGTTTTTTTATGTTAAAAAGTTATAAATCTTAGCTTAAAATTTATAACTTTTTTATATTCTTTATGTAAATACTCCCTTATGAAATTTGAGATGTAATCGAGTGGGTTGATGACGTATCATCGATTGAGGTGAAGCGTGACCCCTGCACCGACTCTGGTGGGGCACCCAGTGAAGATCGAACTCACAACACGAACACCAAGTGATCTACAGGACGACCTTGGTAGGTGCGGCCTATTTAATAAATGTTTTTTTCAATTTGTACATTTTTCTCTGCTCAGTTAGGCCATGTAAGACACAAATGCTAAAGAGAAGAATAATGTCGTATCTTAAAGAAATAGGTACCAAAACCTAGATCACGTACAAAATATATATCTATAAAACATACGTTTTCCCTGGAAGTATAAAATTATGCAGAAAATATCTGTAGTTGAAGGTATAAAATTGTGTTTAAAATATTTAGAGTTCGGCCTAAAATAACCCATAGAGATGTTGATATGCCGCTAAACTAAAACAAACAAAGACAAACATTCATTTCTTTTGTTTATTTGAGGTATTTTGCTAACGCAAGAAATGGTTTTGATTATTCAGAATTAAGGGAATGAAAAAAGTTAACACAAAGTTAAAAGAATGTAAGAAAATAAATATTTTAATAATGTGACTGGGATTATCAAAAATAAATAAAAAGAAACTTTTTTTTATAAGCAACTAAGTTCAGATTTGACTAAATCTTCACTAAGCAACACTACGACTGACGTCAGTTTGCTAAATTGAAAAAAAAAGTAAAATATCTATAGTTGAAAGCATAAAATTACTTAGAAAATATTTAGATTTCGGTATTAAATAATCTATAGAGGTTGATATGCCGCTAAAAAATCAAACAAAATAAAATCAAACCGATTGTATCACATGTTACGAGGCAGTAAGTGCTTGCTGCCGAATGAGGGTGAGAGTCACGAACACATTTTAATTCATCGACTAACATATATTCAAATTCTCCACGGTCAGTGACCCTGATAAGATTTTTTAATATTAGACATAAAAAATTTAATACAGCTATTCTCAGGTTTTGTGGTTTTTATTTATTTATTTACTTTTTTTAATGCGAAGAATTTTCTCTGATTATTCGAATTAGAGAAAACTATTTCGAAAGAATCTTTGGCTGGCCAACTATTTCAAATCGATTGGGAGCAAATCCGAACGTGATCTGGTTGTATTTTTAGAACTCAGCCAGCATTCTGCTGATCTTTTTATCCAATAGCAACGCATGAAGATTAAAGATCTGAGACTTTGTCTGCCGGTAGTTTGCAAGCGTTTGATTGCTTGAACGAATTTGTGTTTCTGAAACATGGATAGGTAGATAAACATGGACATAAATTGATTGATAGTGAAGAAACTCAGATAGATAGATAGACAGACAGACAGACAGATGGATAGATAGTGGCAGTTCGACGTGGTGTAATTAGTTCGCAAGTTTGTCTCAATAATTCAATTACGACTGAATAGTGAGTTCGATCTCGGCTGTTTGTCTTATACATCCGGCCTAGAGCCACATCTAAACTCCACTTAGATAGATAGATAGATAGATAGATAGATAGATAGATAGATAGATAGATAGAATAGATAGAATGAGTAGACATAGATAGATAGATAGAATGAGTAGACATAGATAGATAGATAGATAAATAGATAGATAGATAGATAGAATGAGTAGACATAGATAGATAGATAGATAGATAGATAGATAGATAGATAGATACGGTTCGAAAAGACGTATAAGAACATTCATTACAGCGGAAGTGTTTTTCTTCAGGGCATTGGTGATCATGGCTCTCCACTGTTTCCTATCTGAGAGTTTTCTATCTGATACAGATAAATAGATATGAAGAGACTGACATAAACTTATAGATATGAAGAGACTGCGATAGATAGATAGATAGATAGATAGATAGATAGATAGATAGATAGATAGATAGATTTTGACAGCCTGCAATATACGTTTCGAAAAGACGTATAAGAACATTCATTAACATGGAAATGTTCTTCTTCAGGACATTGGTGATCATGGCTCTCCACAGTTTCCTGTCTTTTGTAGCCCTGCAATCCATTCACACAAGCTCATTTGGGTAGCTGTTTTTTTTTTGTTCCCCTGGCCTTCCAAATGTTATGTCAGTGTAAAAGTTTCCAAATCCTCCTTCCCACTAATGTGACCTAGAAATTTCAGTTGCCTCTTTCTTCTGTGAAGTATAAATGTGCTATTTTTTTTTGTTTAGATTTTCATTAAAACTTCGTCGTTGCTCACATGTTCAGCCCAAAATATTCTCTCCATCTTTCTATTAAACATTTCTGTTCATCTGCGAGGAGATTATCCAGTGTCATGTAAGAGAGACCGATATTATATAACAGTTTAGTACTCTTTGTTTCTTGCCACATTTTCCACTTTCTTAATACATTGCTTAACTTCTGTAAGGCATTATTTTACAAAATTCATTTCAAAAACGTAAAAGGCAGACAAATATAATGATATGAACGCAGAATAAGTGTTTAATTATATTAGAAAAATATTAAATTTTGAATCAGCTCCTAAAATCAAATTAAATTTTAAAAGTTTGTTCGAAAATAATGAAACAGCTGAGAGACAAAACAAAATTTATCTGCCATTGTGCAGATACTACACTTTGATCCTAAGCATAGATTGATAGGTAGAGAGATAGATAGATAGACAGACAGACAGAGGGGAACAGAGTGAGATAGATAGATAGATAGATAGATAGATAGATAGATAGATAGATATGAAGAAACTGGGATAGATAGATAGATAGATAGATAGATAGATAGATAGATAGATAGATAGATAGATAGATACGAAGAGACTGAGATAGATTGATAGATATGAATAGACTGAGATAGATTGATAGATAGAGAGATAGATACGAAAAGACTGAGATAGATCGATAGATATGAATAGACTGTAATAGATAGATAGATAGATAGATAGATAGATAGATAGATAGATAGATAGATAGATAGATACGAAGAGACTGAGATAGATTGATAGATATGAATAGACTGTGATAGATAGATATGAATAGACTGAGATAGATTGATAGATATGAATAGGCTGTGATAGGTAGATATTGTTTTGGACCGGTTCATTGTCCCACGATTTAGTCACCCCCCTCTACCCCCACGAGGGCATCATGTGGTGCAAGGCCGGTTTAACGTGGGATCTCCGAGCCCGTGCGCTCGGCCAAAAATATGCACTTTGAACCCGTATGAACGGGTTCAGGGACGGTTTACCTCCCCGAAAGAGACTCCGCCCTTCGGTGTAATCTCGTTCGGGTTCCTCCCCGCCCGAAGGCAGAGAGTTCAACCGATCAGCCAATCAGCCAGTCGCCCGACTTCGGACTGAACTCCCTGCTTCCTCTTGAGGCGCAGTATTTATTACGTATGGAATAGTCCATTATGTTATTATGGGTAAGGTCCCATACGTATGGAATAGTCCATTATGTTATTATGGGTAAGGTCTCATAACAGATAGATAAATTTTGACAGCCAGCAATATAAGTTACAAAAAATGTATAATAGCGTTCATTGCCGTGGAAGTGTTCTTCTTCAGACCATTTGTGATCATGACTCTCCACATTTTCCTGTCTTTTGTAGCCGTTAATTACTTTTGTCCTTTTATGCATCACATGATACCTGAAGTAGCCTTATGCAGAAGTACCTGCGATAATTGAATAATCATGGCTCTCCACAATTTCCCGTCAGCTTCTAAGCTCAAATTAAATTTTAAAGTTTCAATTAAATATTTACTTTGAATTGGTTAAACATTTCATCACGTAGGGTGATTTTTCAGTTAAGCAATATGGCTTTCGTTTCACAAGGTCAACTGCTAATGTGTTAACAAATATTCCTGAGGGATTCTGCCAAGATTTGGATAAGAATGGTGATGCTCGTGTTATTGCTTCGGATATCTTGAAGACAGATGAAATAGTCACTATTTACATTATTCGGACTATTGTCCTCATCTTCGTTGTCATATAACAACGTTTCGGCCGTTGTACGCTTCGGCCTTCATATTCTTCGTATTCATTTCTATGCTTGGTCGACTCAGGAGATTTTTGTGGCCTAGCATATGTGGGATCAGGTTGAAATCACAGACAAAGAACATCATTGGAAAATTCGTAAACTTAAGGAATCAGCACATATGCTAGGCCACAAAAATCTCCTGAGCAGACCAAACATAGAAATGAATACAATATGGGAACCAGTAATAAGGAGTGCCAGAGAAAAGCGATAATAACAACGAAAATTGCAATATGAGCTCTGGTAAAAAGATGAAATGATAACAGCAAAAATTGCAATATGAGCACTGGTAAAAATGTTTGCTGATTAGGTTTTTAATACCCAGAAATTCATACACAGATGTCCTCAAGAACACATGACACAGTGGATAAAGGCGTTAGTTAGATCCAGTGACAGGACCCTAAGAGTGTGAGTTCAATACCTGTTTAAGGCAGTGGAGAACTTGGAGAGGGGAATTAACAGGGTGTAACTGATAACTGTCATCCATTAGACATGGCACGTGGAACTAGAACAGTCTACCCCAGCGAGTGAAATAAAGGGTTCAGTTCGACATTTCAACCACCTAAAGAAGGCCTAAACATACAAAGGCCGAAACGTTGTAATAAATATGGCGACAAAGATGAGGACAATAGTCCGAATAATGGATATAGTGTACATAACACCTCATCTCAGAGATATAGACAAATACAGATGACATGATTTGGTGTAATGGTCTTCTTCAAAAGTTGAAAAGCTGTGGACGAATTTTTGAACGGCTTAACTCTTTCTTATCGTATCAGTGACACAGCTGAGAGAGAAAATGAAATTTATCCGCCTTTAAGCAGATACTACACTTTGATCCTAACATGAAGTTCGTTAGATAGATAGATAGATAGATAGAAATTTCAATTGTCTCTTTCTTATGTGAAGAAAACTTCATTAAAACTTCGCTCACATGTTCGGTCCATGGTATTCTCTGCATCCTTCTGTTAAACAGCATGTCTATTCATATTTTAGAGGATTGCCCAGCTTTCACTGTCATATAGCAGGACTGATATTATATGACAATTTAGGACTCTTTTCTTTTTGTCTAATGAAATTTTCCAGTTTCTTAATACAATGTTTAACTTTTGTAAGGCATGTTTAATAAATCGACATTATTTTACAAAACGCATTTCAAAAGTGTAAAAGGTAACCAAAAATAACGATATTTAAGCAAAATACGTCTTTAATTATAATTTTTGAAAAATTTTGAGACATCAACTCCTAAACTAAAATTAAATTTCAAAAGTTTCAATCTCTCACAACTTAAATATTTACTCTGAAATGGTTAAGTATTTCACCTCGCAGGGTCATCTTTCAGTCAAGCAATATGTCTTTCGTTACTGTAGGTCTGCTGCTTATATGTTAACTAATATTCCTGAAAGTGTCTGCCAAGATTTGGATAAGAATGGTGATGCTCGTGTTGTTGCTTCAGATATCTCGAAGGCAAATTACAAGTTTTGGTATACTGGTCTTCTTCACAAGTTGCAAGGTTATGGACGAATTTTTGAACGGCTTTACTCTTTCTTATCGTATCGCGAAATGAAAGTTGTTTTAAATGGCCACTCTTCTCGATCTTTTTCCATTAATACAGGTGTTCTACAAGACTCTATCCTTTTACCTGAATTGTTTCTAATTTTAATCAATGACTTTCTTGATGGAATCAGTTCTCACCTCGGCATCTATAATGAAAACATAACCATTTATCTTGTCTTATGTCAAATTGGCAGCTGACAATAAAAATGATCTAAATTCTGCTGTTAATTGTAGTAGGCAATGGCTTCAGCATGGGTGATACTAACCTCCACTAGACTGACCCATAGCGCCTTCTCGAACTAACGTTTTCCGCTGGCATGAAGTGGAAAGATTATATTGAATCAATTGCTAGATCCGATACTAGGAAAGTTGTTTTCCTACGTCGTGTTGGACAATTTTTCTCACGAAAATCTATCTCATATTCATAAGTCTACCAATTAGTCCTTGCTTTGAATATTGCTGCCATATCTGGCCTGGTGCTTCTGTTATATATTTAGAGATTCTTGATAAAATCCAAAGAAGAATCTATCTTACATATTTATAAGTCTACCATTCATCCATGCATTGAATATTGCTACCACATCTGGTCTGGTGCTTCTGCTATATATTTAGAGATTCTTGATAAAATCCAAAGAAGAATCTATCTTGCATATTTATAAGTCTACCATTCTTCAATGCATTGAATATGGCTGCCACATCTGGTCTGGTGCTTCTGCTATATATTAAGAGAATCTTACTAAAATCCAAAGAATCTATCTTGCATATTTATAAGTCTACCATTCGTCCTTGCTTTGAATATTGCTACCACATCTGGTCTCGTACTTCTGCTATATATTAATAGATTCTTGATAAAATACAAAAATTAAATTTTTGAAGATTATATCTATCAGGGAAGCAAGTAAGAGGAAGAGAGTATCACTGTCGGGAAGTGCGAGAGAAGAAGCGGAGTAGAAGAGGCGGTTACATTTAACTATTTCGACAGTAAAAAAAGTAAGACCTAGTTTCGAACCTAGTAGCACGCTTAAATTTATGCAGTTGGGGCACTAGTGAAAATAGCTCGTCAGAGTAAATGCCATGAAAATATTTATAGAAAAGACAGAGGGAAGCCACATCACGTCGATGAGAAAGTGACTGGTGTCAAGACTCCAGGCCAGGACCATTCACATTATATATCCATTTTTGGATTTTGTCGAGAATCTCGAGTTTAGCAGCGGGGTCACCAGATCATATATGCCAACGTTATTCCATGCATGGACGAATGGTAGGTTTGTAGATGTGAAGTGTGGACGAGAAAAAACCTTCTGGTGTGGTATAAAGAACCAACTTTCCTTGCAGTAGATGCAGCTATTGATTCAATGTAGTTGTTCCACTTCAGATCAGTGTAGAACGTGAGACCAAGAAGGCGCAGCGAGACTTTCTCGTGGAGTTGAGCATCAACCATGCTAAATAGGAGGCAGGAACTTTTCTCTATGGTGACTAAATGGCAGCAATTTCGTTTTAGATGCATTAAAATTAACAAGCCATTTTTTATCGCTGATAATTCGACCCTCATTTATTGACTGTATGCAAGCGGAGAGGTGAGTGCTACATAGAATATAGAATTGATAGTAACTTTTTGTACATATTTTTGAAAATGGAAGAACGAGATCTTGCATTTCGAAGGTAATAAGAAAGAAAAAGAATGAAAAAGATTCAAGCGCCGAAAAAAAAATGTTCATTTATATTGGTGCCTGTGAGTGCCTCCTTATGTGTAATATGAAACGAAGAGGAAATTGTAGAGAAGAACAAATACATATGTCGAAATAAAAAGATAAAAATAACAGCGAAAATTTAAAACAAAATGGCTTCCGGCTCTATTTTTAAAATTGGGCGTTTGTTCGATTGAAGAGGAATGTAAAGCAGAAAAGGGGAGGGAAAAGAAGGTAAAGACAGGACTTAAACAAAAGCAGAAAATTATGTGAAACCAAAGAGAGAGGGGGCGGGAATTCAATGACGAATAGGCAACTGAAAAGAAACATGGCGAACACATGTCTGAAATCAGTGAGATGAAGGAAATTATCGCATATACTCATATATAAATCGACCTAAAAAGATTATTGATTTTTAGCCTCCAAGTACTTAATTTATATTTTATAGCTAATGCAACAAACCCCTCTATGTGCCTCTATCAGGACATAGGAGATCATGACTCTCCACAGCTTCCTATCTCTTGTGGACTGTATCAACGTTTCTCCGTTTGCTAAACATCCTTCCCAGTTTTTCGTCAATCATTCACACAGGCTCGTCAGGTGGGTGGCTCGCTGCCTTCGCCTATCTCTCTTGTGAGGATAAAGTTCTCCAAGTCCTCCTTCCTCATTTACTGTCAAAAAACTTCAAATATCTCGTTCTGGCTCTGTGTTCAAGTGTTCGTTTCGTCGCCATTCTAAAAAAATCTAGTATGTATAACAACTTAAAGAAAAGATATGTAAAAAACAATATTGTATTTTTATCAAATATGTATTTGCTATTTTAATCATTATTTTTTTTTTAATGTAGTGGGAGTATTTTGTAAGAACTTACTTATTGTCTTAAGCTAATTGCACTTCTCCCTAAAATTACGATCACTCAATGTATGGCTATTTTAAAAGGTGAGACGGACGAATGGAAGTCATAGAATTTTATATGAAAAATTCATCCGAGCATTGAATACTGTTGTCATATCTGGTCTGGTGTTCCTGCTATTCATCTCGAGATTCTTAACAAAATCCAAAGAAGGATCTGTAATGTAATCGATCCTGACCTGGCATCTCGACTTCATTCATCCGAGCATTGAATACTGTTGCCATATCTGGTCTGGTGTTCCTGCTATTCATCTCGAGATTCTTGACAAAATCCAAAGAAGGATCTGTAATGTAATCGATCCTGACCTGGCATCTCGACTTCATTCATCCGAGCATTGAATACTGCTGTCATATCTGGTCTGGTGTTCCTGCTATTCATCTTCGAGAATCTTAACAAAATCCAAAGAAATCTTGAATGAATCCTGACCTCTGGCATCTCGAATTCATCCGAAAATTGAATATCTGTAATGTAATATCTGGTCTGGTGTTCTCTGCTTCATTCATCTCGAGATTCTTACTGAAAATCCAAAGAAGGATTCATATTAATCGAAATCTGAAGGATCTGGCATCGATTTGACTCTCGACCTTTTCATCCGAGCATTGAATACTGTTGTCATATCTGGTCTGGTGTTTTCTTATTCATTCATCTCGAGATTCTTGACAAAATCCAAAGAAGGATCTGTAATGTAATCGATCCTGACCTGGCATCTCGACTTCATTCATCCGAGCATTGAATACTGCTGTCAATCTGGTCTGGTGTTCCTGCTATTCATCTCGAGATTCTTTTAAAAATCCAAAGAAGGATCTGTAATGTAATCGATCCTGACCTGGCATCTCGACTTCATTCATCCGAGCATTGAATACTGTTGTCATATCTGGTCTGGTGTTCCTGCTATTCATCTCGAGATTCTTGACAAAATCCAAAGAAGGATCTGTAATGTAATCGATCCTGACCTGGCATCTCGACTTCATTCATCCGAGCATTGAATACTGCTGGTCTGGTCTGGTGTTCCTGCTATTCATCTCGAGATTCTTGACAAAATCCAAAGAAGGATCTGTAATGTAATCGATCCTGACCTGGCATCTCGACGACTTCATTCATCCGAGCATTGAATACTGTTGCCATATCTGGTCTGGTGTTTCCTGCTATTCATCTCGAGATTCTTAACAAAAAGGGATCTGTAAGAAGGATCTGTAATCTAATTCGATCCTTGAATATGGCATCTCTCGACTTCATTCATCCGAGGCATTGAATACCGAGCATTGAATACTGCTGTCATATCTGGTCTGGTGTTCCTCTGGTCTGGTGTTCATTCATCTCCGAGATTCTTTGACAAAATCCAAATCTCGAGATTCTTGAAAAATCTGGATCTGTAATGTAATCGATCCTGACCTGGCATCTCGACTTCATTCATCCGAGCATTGAATACTGTTGCCATATCTGGTCTGGTGTTTGGCTATTCATCTCGAGATTCTTGACAAAATCCAAAGAAGGATCTGTAATGTAATCGATCCTGACCTGGCATCTCGACTTCATTCATCCGAGCATTGAATACTGTTGTCATATCTGGTCTGGTGTTCCTGCTATTCATCTCGAGATTCTTGACAAAATCCAAAGAAGGATCTGTAATGTAATCGATCCTGACCTGGCATCTCGACTTCATTCATCCGAGCATTGAATACTGCTTGTCATATCTGGTCTGGTGTTTCTGCTATTCATCTCGAGATTCTTAACAAAATCAAAGAAGGATCTGTAATGTAATCGATCCTGACCTGGCATCTCGACTTCATTCATCCGAGATTTGAATACTGTTGATATCTGGTCTGGTGTTCCTGCTAATCTCGAGATTCTTGACAAAATCAAAGAAGGATCTGTAATGTAATCGATCCTGACCTGGCATCTCGACTTCATTCATCCGAGCATTGAATACTGTTGTCATATCTGGTCTGGTGTTCCTGCTATTCATCTCGAGATTCTTAACAAAATCCAAAGAAGGATCTGTAATGTAATCGATCCTGACCTGGCATCTCGACTTCATTCATCCGAGCATTGAATACTGTTGTCATATCTGGTCTGGTGTTCCTGCTATTCATCTCGAGATTCTTGACAAAATCCAAAGGATCTGTAATGTAATCGATCCTGACCTGGCATCTCGACTTCATTCATCCGAGCATTGAATACTGATCCTGATTCATCTCGAGGCATCTCTGAATGTAATCTCCTGACCTGGCATCATTCATTCATCCGAGCATTGAATACTGTTGTCATATCTGGTCTGGTGTTCCTGCTATTCATCTCGAGATTCTTGACAAAAAATCCAAAGAAGGATCTGTAATGTAATCGATCCTGACCTGGCATCTCGACTTCATTCATCCGAGCATTGAATACTGTTGTCATATCTGGTCTGGTGTTTCTGCTATTCATCTCGAGATTCTTGACAAAATCCAAAGAAGGATCTGTAATGTAATCGATCCTGACCTGGCATCTCGACTTCATTCATCCGAGCATTGAATACTGTTGTCATATCTGGTCTGGTGTTTCTGCTATTCATCTCGAGATTCTTGACAAAAATCCAAAGAAGGATCTGTAATGTAATCGATCCTGACCTGGCATCTCGACTTCATTCATCCGAGCATTGAATACTGTTGTCATATCTGGTCTGGTGTTCCTGCTATTCATCTCGAGATTCTTAACAAAATCCAAAGAAGGATCTGTAATGTAATCGATCCTGACCTGGCATCTCGACTTCATTCATCCGAGCATTGAATACTGTTGTCATATCTGGTCTGGTGTTCCTGCTATTCATCTCGAGATTCTTGACAAAATCCAAAGAAGGATCTGTAATGTAATCGATCCTGACCTGGCATCTCGACTTCATTCATCCGAGCATTGAATACTGTTGTCATATCTGGTCTGGTGTTCCTGCTATTCATCTCGAGATTCTTGACAAAATCCAAAAAGAAGGATCTGTAATGTAATCGATCCTGACCTGGCATCTCGACTTCATTCATCCGAGCATTGAATACTGTTGTCATATCTGGTCTGGTGTTTCCTGCTATTCATCTATTCTTGATCTCTGAGATCCTGACCTGGCTCTGACTTCATTCAAAATCCAAAGAAGGATCTGTAATGTTTCTGCTAATCTCGATCCTGAAATCTGGCATTTCTGTAACTTCCATTCATCCGAGCATTGAATACTGTTGTCATATCTGGTCTGGTGTTCCTGCTATTCATCTCGAGATTCTTGACAAAATCCAAAGAAGGATCTGTAATCTAATCGATCCTGACCTGGCATCTCGATTCATTCATCCGAGTATTGAATACTGCTGCCATATCTGGTCTGGTGTTCCTGCTATTCATCTCGAGATTCTTAACAAAATCCAAAGAAGGATATGTAATGTAATAGATCCTGACCTGTCATCTCGACTTCATTCATCCGAGCATTGAAAACTGCTGCCATATCAGGTCTGGTGTTCCTGCTATTCATCTCGAGATTCTTGACAAAACCCAAAGAAGGATCTGTAATGTAATCGATCCTGACCTTGCATCTCGACTTCATTCATCCGAGCATTGAATACTGTTGTCATATCTGGTCTGGTGTTCCTGCTATTCATCTCGAGATTCTTGACAAAATTCCAAATACTGAAGGATCTCTCGAGTAAAAATGTAATCGATCCTGACCTGGCATCTCGACTTCATTCATCCGAGCATTGAATACTGTTGTCATATCTGGTCTGGTGGTCCTGCTATTCATCTCGAGATTCTTGACAAAATCCAAAGAAGGATCTGTAATGTAATCGATCCTGACCTGGCATCTCGACTTCATTCATCCGAGCATTGAATATTGCTGCCATATCTGGTCTGGTGTTTCTGCTATTCATCTCGAGATTCTTGACAAAATCCAAAGAAGGATCTGTAATGTAATCGATCCTGACCTGGCATCTCGACTTCATTCATCCGAGCATTGAATACTGCTGCCATATCTGGTCTGGTGTTTCCTGCTATTCATCTCGAGATTCTTAACAAAATCCAAAGAAGGATCTGTAATGTAATCGATCCTGACCTGGCATCTCGACTTCATTCATCCGAGCATTGAATATCTGGTCTGCCATTCATCTGGTCTGGTCTGTTTCGATCCTGCCTATTCATCTCCGAGATTCTTTGACAAAATCCAAAATCCAAAGAAGGATCTGTAATGTAATAGATCCTGACCTGGCATCTCGACTTCATTCATCCGAGCATTGAATACTGCTGCCATATCTGGTCTGGTGTTTCTGCTATTCATCTCGAGATTCTTAACAAAATCCAAAGAAGGATCTGTAATGTAATCGATCCTGACCTGGCATCTCGACTTCATTCATCCGAGCATTGAATTCATCTGCTGCCATATCTGGTCTGACTGTTCATCCGAGCATTG